AGGTATCATGTCTTTTCTGTCATGAAAAAAAAAAACATTCTTTATAGGTCTATGGCTGTCTACATTCTGCCCCAAATCAGATCAGTGAGGAAGAGGCGGCAGTCTCGAAACATCTAATTCTTTACCTTTTCTCAGCAAATAATCAAACAACTTCCAACCGTCGTTGTTGGGACGCATACAAGAGACAAATATGATCTCAATGTTGGACAACATGTTTGGGAATAAAACTCTTTCACCACAGGTTATCTTTTTATTTTAATGTTATTTTTCAGATATTGTACTTTAAATTGCCTGTGAAGTAAGAGACATATTAGTCTTGACGGTGATCGAAAATCGCGAAGACCAGAAATAAATCGCGGCAAAGCGCCATTGAAACCAGTAATCCATGATGGTACATTTGATAGATCACACATGCAGACTTGGGCCTCATAACTGGCTAAGCAGTATTGACTGCCTTCTGTCAATGGCGCGATTTATCTTTCTTGGTTGTTATTTTTGCTATTCTTTCAGTCTTTATTTTGGTTTAAGTACTCTTGTGCTTGAGGAGGAAGTTCAAAGTATTGTGGCATTGATTCCAGTTCAGTTTGTTCCACACTCATACTGACTCCTTCAGGTATGTTCCGCTGAATATACTCAAGTAGCACATCTGCTGTTTCACGGGTCACATTCCTAACCTACAATACAAACCAATGCTCTGACAATCAGTCGCTTTTTATCAAGGTACACACTAACTATTAACGTCGGGAGAATAAAACTTGAATCAAGAACAGTTAAAGCTCGTTGAAAGTTCTGTAGCATGGCAGTACATGTACGTTTTTTGATACCCTGTAGTCTCGATTTTGCTCGCGTTGTCGAGAAAGTAGGAGTTATATTCAGCTAGCAGTAGTCGCATAGGAACTTTAGAAGATGTCCTTGAGAAGTATTTTTGGATACATGTATGCTCACTACAAAAGTTCTCTGCGAGTAGAGATGCCTTCCAGAAATTTCCACTGCCGAATCGAACAGCATTTCCAGAATTTCCCAAAAGAGGACAACCTTGCAAGGAACACCAAATTGTCGAAAATTTCTTGCTGGGCATTTCTGTTCCATTCAGAATTTCCGCAGTTTTTGGTTAAATGGTTTGGATTTCAGAAATGGACCAGTTTTCGGATTTTACGGAAACTTCCAAGGAAATTTCCGTACCATTTGGGCTTGTTTCAAAAGAGGTTTTGGTTGAATACAAAGCTCCCTAGTCCTTTCATAATAATTATCGTCAATTATTGACATTTGCGTTAAGTCTAGTGAGCTAGACTGAGGAGAGATTTAATGCACATTTAGTAAATGTAATCATACGGTTTCGAGTTCAATTTGGAATTAATTTGCACGAGTGAGTTTTTCAAAAAGCTGAAATTGCACGAGCCGCTTCGGCGAGTTCAATTTCAGCTTTTTGAAAAACTCACAAGTGCAAATTAATTCCAAATTGAACGAGAAAAACCGTATGATTACTTATTAATAATATAAACAGGAAAAAATTTGCGTGGAGGAAGTGCCGGAATACCTTCCTTGAAGCCATTTTTTCTCATTCGAGTTTCCGCACAAAATTTTTCTCATCATTTTACATAATATCATTGGCTTCAAAAATGTCTTATTTTCTCTCAGCCAATCATAATCCCGAATTATGATGTGTAATTTGCACTGGTGTTACACTTTTTGCACCGGTGTTACACTTTTTGCACTGGTGTTACACTTGAACTGCACTGGTGTTACACTTGAACTGCACTGGTGTTACACTTGAACTGCACTGCTCTCAGCCAATCAGAAGCGAGTAATTTTTTCATGTATGTTATTAAACATGTAATACCGTATACATGTATTAAGTTATGGTATAAGATTGTTTTGAATAAGCCATTAAGATCCGCTGTGGCATTGCCGCATGTATATCGCTTCTTTAAAACAAGTTCAGCAAGAAGTTCCATCACCACGTACATGGTAATAATATTGGTAGTAATATGGTAGTCATATGTAGTTTATACGTCATAGGACTTAGTCAAGCAGCTCTCCTAGACATGGACATAGACATAGACATAGACAATTTATTTTTCTTGGACAACACGCTCCCCTCAAAAGGAACGTTTTTATCAAGATCCAAGCAACCCCTAGGAGGGCCGGTGACATACTGGAGGAAGATCCATCCTTGAGCAGGAACCTTCACGATGTAGTTAGCTCACAAAAAAACTCTCAATTGTAATACAAACCTGTAACATCCGCGCATGTGTCCGCACCTCATACTGTGCTCTGTGTTTCTTGTAAATGTGTGGAGATTTTAAAACTGTGTGTCTTTCAATTGACGTGGGAAGTAAAATCCTGCAAAACAAGGAAATTAACCAAAATAAGAACTCAATATCAATCAGTTGGTCAATATTTAAAAGCAGAGCAAGTTTAATCTGTCCTATATTGGTTTACAGACAAAAATTGCTCATTTTAACAGTGTTTTGCACTGAACTTCATTATAAGAAAAACTTTCTGCTTGATGGTCAAACCAGGCAGGCAAAATCATCCTCACAGCTAGTCAATTTGCCTGGTGCCTGACCCTTAATGAAACCCTGCCACCATGAGTGTTCATCGCTGAATTGTAATGCATGCTTACATATACTGAATGTTTGCTAGCTATGTTAGCTATGAATAATATAATTATTGTACTTACAGGTCAGATATATCAATGTCCAGATGTGAAGCAGCTAGTGTGATAAATTTAGTGTAGCTCTTTAGTACAGCTTCGTCACTGCCCTTGTATTTGATGCTGATTAGTGAATACAGAACTCTTTTGTTTGAGTCAGAACTATCCTGAAAAAAGTTTATTGAAAAACATATTGAGATTAACGGATCTGCCCAACCCAATCTTCACTTTTATTTTAATAGCTTAAACTGTAAGTTTTTAATAGAATTGATGAGCAGCAAATACATTCCAAACCAGTCACAAAGTAATACAGAACACAAACGACACAATCAAATGCTTGAAGTAAAACATGATATTACATTATTTCTAGAAACACTTACATTTTCTTTGGTAGAAAAAGATCTCAACTGCATTAGTTTGACTCCTGAGGGAAAGAGCAGAAAGCCAAGTACTTCCTTGAGTAAATATGTGTATCTATCACAAGTCAGCTGTTTCAGTTTAACATCTGAGTGAAATATTTCTCCAACCAGAATCAACATCTGTCACTATCAAATATCCCAAGCTGATATAACCTCATATGCAGCCATTGTTTTGGCTTATCATGGTTGCCAATTTTCTTACTTTTCCCTGATAAAAGTAAAATTTCCCTGACGGTCAAATTAAGACAAGATGTCAGATATAGGGGGATTTATGCTGATGTTATTGTTTACATTTTTGCTCATTTGCATACGGCTTTGCACACAGAAGGAAACATGTTACATATGAATTGACTCCAGGCAGCTAAAGAGCTAGTGAAACGTAATACACGCTGAAATTTGTAGCTTTTTGGGTGTAATATTCAAGGGGAAATTGTCTTACAAAAACTGCAAAATTTCTGGGTGGCAAAAGAGCTAATGAGCTCATATATTCTTTATAAAACTTTGAGTTTTTAAACCCATGTTGCACAAAAAGTATTTAATACATCAGGCTCATATTCATTGGCAGAGTTAATCGTACATGACCTTTCAATATTCAGAACTGTTTTATTAGTCGCTCCATCAGAAACTGAATTGCTTATGCTAATGAGGCAAATATTGTAAACAAGGATTCCCCTACAGTATCAGCTTGCAGCCTCCCCTGACAGCCATCCTTTCCACCCACTCATGAGGGCTGATTAGTTCTCAACAAATTTTCCTTTTTCCTTTTATGGTTCCAGAAAATATTCATACCCCACCACAGAAAGAATTGCAAATTACACAGGGGTGAGGGGTGAAAGACCCAGGAAACTGTGGAGGGCAGGGAGATTGGATCCACTTTAGTTTCCAGATGTCCTTCCATTCAATACAAATTCAAGTACTCGTCTAGCTACTCAAAAATCACAAGTTACCATTTACAGTCTGTCTAGTTACTTTTAAAGTGCCACTGAAACGAAATTTTCGTATGTGAGATTTTTGCTTAGTAATAAAGTTTCAACCTTACTTGGAAACACTGCGGACTTTTTTTTT